AAAGGAACTAGACATAATTTATATACCAATAAGAAGCATAAGAACTATTCATATTTTTTAAAAACAATATATACTTAAAAAAATTTCATATCTAGAAATATTAATCTACATAAAAAATATTTAAAAAATACTTAAAGCAGTAATGGTAAGTTAATTCTAACTTACCACTATTACATAATATTAGCACAAGGCTAATATATAATACACTATTGCCTGGGTATGCAAGTATTTCCAAAGTGATGTAGTGTGTTCTTCAAATTATGAGATGGCGCTTTGTAAGTAAAGTTGAGTGCCAACTGCTATCTTGTTTATAACTTTTTGCAAACTTTAATAAAATATTTAAAATAATCTAAAAAAAAATATCCTAAAAGTATATAATTAAGTTTTATTTTAATCGAACAACATTTTTGGTAGGAGTTATAGCTGAGCCAATCAAGAGATGTAAGTTTGTTTGCAAATATAAAAAGAGTACTAATTGAAGTAAGTCTAAAGTAGAGTTAAGTGGTTATTGTGAATTAAATTAAACTGTTTGTAATGTGAAATGTGTGTTCTGTTGCAAAATTGTGTAAATATTGCAATAATACGTTAAGTGATTTTTTTTTTGGGGGTGAAAATTGCAAATATTAAAAGTAATTAAGTAAAACTGAAATGCTTTACAATTTTTTAATTATATATATATACATATATATATAAGGGTGAACAACTAGATATTATACCAGTACCATACACAAAATTTCAACTTTCTGTGGCTACTCATTTTTAAGTTATGTGAGATACATACATATGTATGTACATACATACAGATGTCATGCAAAAACATCATTGAAATGGATTCAAGAGCAGTTAAAATGGATATTTTCATTGAAATACAATACCTGAAATTTTTCGCAATTACATTACTTCCTTTACTTCGTACAAACACTGCACTGTAACTGTTTAACAGACAAGAAAGGTACTAACTTCAGCTGAACAGTTCAGCCTAGTTGCCATAGTCTTTTTTGAAGAATTACTGTAAAATTTATGCTGTTTCTTAAGAACACTATCCAATTCAATAAAATATTGTGTGTCTTAAATTTAATTTGAGTGCAATACAGTGTTGTGTTAAACCTCCATTATGTATTTTTTCAATATGGCAGCTAGTCCATTTTCTCTTCCAGTCATGTTTTAGCCCCATATGTTCCAAGACCTGCTATTCATTTTCTGCTTCACCAGCTGATTCCAAGCTTTTGCAATTTGCAGTCTAAAGTTTCATAGTAACCTAATGCAGAAGAAGAATGTATAGATACAATTGAAAGGAATGTCGCTTTTATAACATTATCTCTTATATACCTAGCCTATATTGTTTGTCCTTCCTCTTTAGATACTTAAAAAAGAATAGTCATACAGCTACAATCTAAAATTTCTGCAATAAACTTCCTACAGGTAACAGCTGCAGAATAAGATATAAACTCCCTGGATTGTTTACCATGTTGGTATTTGCTGAGAGCAACATGTGCAATTTATTAAGCAGCTTAATCAAATCTTTAAAATCAGAAAATGGCTTATTTTACTTTTCAATATAATAAATTATGTTTAATAGTTTTTTTAAGTGTTAAAACAGTCTGTTGTCCATTTTTCTTTGACACATTGCTAATGGTATGCACTCTGGATTTTCTACAGCTGTATCTTTTAACAAATAATTTTGCATGAATTCACTGGCAAACACATTTACCACAACTTGATTGGCAAAGTACCACTTGATGCGCTAGTCACAATGACCATGTTGAAATTATCACACACATATACATTTCAACAATAGTTTCATGCAGTGGAATAACCGTAATTTTGATGAATGACTACTGCAGTGTTTGGTAAGATAAGTTCACAAATTACTTTGCAACCATGTGTAATTGGCATGAAGCAATGAAATACGAATGGCGAAACAACCTTTTTTTTTCCTTAATTTTATGGCAAATCAATGTGTTTACTATGAAACATTCAAAATGCGCCTTAAAAATCTCGCAAGCAAAGCTTTACACATGAATCCATAGCTTAAGTATTTTATGTGGCGATGAACATTCAATAACATAATACAGTACAAAGTCCATAATCCGAACTTGTCGGGACTTCAGCGATTCCGGATTTATAGATCATCAATTTAAATCTGGTAAGATGGCATGCAGAAAGTATACAATTAAAAATATGAAACTGAATTTATGAAATAAAGAGCAATTATGGTCTAAAGGGTTATCAAAATTTACAAAAAAAAAACTTAATATTTATTTGTTTAATTTATTAAATATTTCTTTCAATGTAAGTTGTTCAAGTTGCTCCGTTTTTTGTGCTAATACTTTCTCTTTAATTCTCTCTTCTATAAACAGACATAATTTCTTGTTCAGTTACAAAGTTCCACTGTTCAAATCCTGTAATTGCTGTGTCAAGAATACCGACTAACTTGTCAATCGAAATTTTTTCGTTTTCAATAACATTTCGTTTTGTTCTCTATCACTTTCTTCACTATCAGAAGCACTCAAGTGTAAACACTTTACTGGCTTTACGCGCATGTGTAAGTTTGGTGCTTTGAGGTCTGGATTATAGATCATTCTGGATAATGGACGTCCGGATTACGGACTTTGTACTGTATAGAAGATTTTCTTTATATTCAATGACTGAAAGTATGGCATGAGTATAAATACAATGTAGCCTGTTAACCCCCCCCCCATAAAAAAGTCCTGAAAATAAATTGTGGGAAGCATTAACCATGCATTTCCAAGGTTATTACATCCAGCTGAAATTTCTTATTAGTTGCCAATAAAGAGCTGGTGACAATTATTTTGAGCTTTGATCATACATGTTTTATTCCAAACTCCTGTGATAATATATTTGCCATATAACTTTCAAAGAGGCGAAAAGTGAATTGTGTCCTCGTTTATTTGCTTCAGAATTTCAAGAGTTGGCTGCAGCAAAAATGTGCCACAAAGTTGACCTTATCAGGTCAGAGGTAGTAACACGAGGAAATGTGCCTTAATTTTTTTTAATCTTATGTTTCTTGTGCAAAGTTGTAAATGTGCCTTGTATATGATGTAATACCATGCTATCCTGTTGAATCTCTACCTTGCAATCTGGGAAATACTCAAGTTTCACATTAAGTACTACTGGTATGGTTAACTATTACTATAAGTATTATTGATAAATTCAACGAGATGTTGTTGATAGCTCTTCTTGAAGGTTGGCATCTCTAAGGAATTATTTAGTTGAGCAATCAGAGATTCAATAATGAGAACTGTAAGCCCTACAGTGTAGATGTGAGAAGATTTTTAAAGATAGTTGTTTATTCTGGCTTATACAGAAACTTGGAGAGTATTCTTAACTATAATAAGCCGGAAACATTTTCCTGCCACATAGTTCTGTGTAGGCAATCAAAATGCCTGCAAAGTTGTTTTAAATCATACTTTTGTGTGATTTTTGCATTAAATGCTGAAATAACATTTTTGCTTTTTATTATTTTCAGAAAACAAAAATTCTCTTCCAATTTCTTTCATAACTGAAAAGTGACATAAAACATAGTTCATAAAGCATGGGATATCTATATTGAATAATAAAAAATTGTAATATATTGCATCCACATAAGCACGTCATAAGGATTCTTTTAAATTATTTGTTATTAGCTATATGAAACATCAAATTAAGTTTCTTTGAATTTTATGTAAAATTTAATTATTGAGCTTAAATTGCAGTATATAACCTTAATATCCAAAGCTGATGTTACAGTAATTAGAGTTTGTTATGTAAAGGAAATACTTGTTTCACTATTTTTGACGTCTCGTATATCTGTGTTTTATTTACATTTTGAACAATACAGTGCAAATGCCTCTTTAAACTTATTATTTAAAAAATCATTTCAAGATTTCTTAATGCTGATGATTTTTTCTATGATATTTTGGAGAGGTATTTAAACTGTGTTTGGATGTTTCACGAAAAGAAGATAAGCTAGTTATAACAGTTTGTTATACATACTTCCTGTAATAAAATGTTTACTATCCTCCTTGTCATGATCGATGTTAGTTCTTTTTGTCGGTTATTTGGCATTTTAAATTTTTTTATTTGCAGAAACACAACATAATATGTCACATGCACTACTCGCACATCTCTAATAATTTTTTTTTTTTTTTTTTTTTTTTTTTTTGTATATACCATTCAGTGTACCATTATACCATATATGTTATTATATTATTTTGTATATACTATTCAGTACCTTGTGGCCTGTTTTGCTGTTTTTCTGTTTTTCTGTGCATCTTGCCGGTGCTGGCATCCTTGCTGTTCATATTGCTATTAAATGTTAAAGGAGAAAACTTTTTCATAGTGCTCTGTCTCATTCTGGTGATATTATAAAATGGTTTTCTCTTTTCCCCCTATTGTTTTCATTTTGCGATTTTGCTTCAAATCACTGAATATCCATTACACTTTTCAAATTGTTGCCACCAAATATCATTGCCCTGTATTATTATATTTGAAGAAATTAAATAATAAAGAATCTGCATAAATGTATGTATGTTTGTTGCATTGTGATAAAACAAGGGTATCTAGAGCCATCAAATTTTAAATGACGTAATCCTGCTGCGAGTATGGGCATCTGGAAGCCCAAATTCAAAATCTGGAATTTGTTTTATTATCGATTTTATATTTTGTAAAACTTCACACGAATTTTGATTAACAAACTCAAGGATTTTAAAGCAAGCAATGGCAATGTTGTACAGAAAAAGCATTTTTATCTCCAGTGCGCGAGAACTGTGTATCGGAAATTCTAAAGACATGCTCATTTTAAAATGATTTTGTGATATTGCTCTTGAACTGGATTGTATGGTTTAAGTGCAAAGAACATGATATTTAATAAATTAAGGTAACACAGAAAATGTTTAAAAAAATGCCCCTTTGGATGAAATTTAAAATCTAAAACCTATCAGATTTTTTTCTTATTATAAAATAAAAATTAATTTGAATTTTATTTATTTATTTTTAAGATAATGTTCAGCAACAATTAGAATCTCTTCAAAGATGTCAGTCTTTAGAAGAAGTTCAAAGACTCTATGAACATGGAGATTACACGGCAGTAGTTGATCTTCTTATTCTGACTTTTAATCAGCCTCGAACTAAAAGAAAGGTAATTTTTTATTTAATTTTATAAACACAGTTTATTTTAAAATGTAACAAAAATATGAAGTAGATTAAGCTCAATTTAAATAATATCTTTACCTAGCAGCTGAGTATATGAGTTTGATGATAAGTAACACTAAATCCTGCTTAACTAAATGTGCAAAGCTCTCTCCCCCAATAAAGTGGATGTTGAATTTATCAAAAAATCAGTCACTTTCAGTTTTTTAAATGTATTTTTTTAGCTTCATAATATTCAAAAGTAAACATATACAATATTTACAACATATATTGTATTTTATAACATAAAAAAGGGTTATCAAATTATCCTATTTGTATGTAATAATAGTAAGTTGGGAAATCTCTGACCTGAAGATGGCCTTTAAATACACTGATATCCCAAATTAAGAGAATTTACACATTGTATCAAATATCTGAATTTTTTTTTAATTGCACAGACACTTGATTATACATCATTGTCCCCCATGCATCTTTGATGCATGAGATTGGACGCTGAAAAAATTACAAAAATAAAAAGACAAACAATAATTAACCTCATACAGTAACTGCATAAAAACTGGAAAATATAATAACAAATGCCTATATTAAGCATTAATAATAATGATGATAATAATAAATTAGTCTTTGCATTTCAACTCTCTAGCCCACCAATATCAGCGGTATAGTTTTTCTGCGTTACCACTCCAATATTTTATATTACAGTTATGGTTAATAAAAATAATAAATACAATTACATATATAGCAGAAAGAACATCTGAATACAAATAGATACATGGTGTTCTTCATATGAGAGATCTTATATTCACAAAACACTGCAAAATATTTTACAGAACTGAATTTCAAACACTCAGATATTAAAACTACCATGAATTATTAAGGGTTTTTGCCATAGTGTTTCGGTTCATAAAAGTTGTACCGAATCCAAAAAGCTTTTCAATTACATTTAAAAAAAAATTATCGAGTTTTAATTAAAAGTTTTTTATTATTTTCACCCTTTCTTTTATAATTTCTGTTTTTTTTTTTTTTTTTTTTTTTTTTTTTTTTTTTAATTCACGTAAGCAGTAATTTTAATTATATTTCTTTTGTATGTAATAAGATTTTTTTTAATGTATTGGAGTATTATCTTGCAGCAATCTCTTGATGGTGTACCTGAGAGGCATGCTCAATTATTACTTCTTCAAAACTCCTTATGGAAGCTTGAAAGATATAAAGTAAGTTTATTGTATTACTCTTGCTTATTAACCTAAACCTATAACCCTTAAATTGATATTTTTTTTAGAATATGTGTATTATTTTTTATGCAGGACTGTGTTTTCTGGAGTGAGGTCTCATTTAATGAAGCTTTGCAACAGTTCATGAATGCTGCAAGATCTGATTGGTCAGAAACCATGGCTCACCTTTTAAGTGGCTTAGACAAGTAATTGTTGAAACACAGTATTTTAATTTTTTAAATATTTAATTTACATGCAAATATGTATCAGAGACCATGAATTTTGATATTAAGTAGCAATATTTTTCTTCAAGGTGTGCAAAACTAGATCCCAACTACCTTAGTGGACTTGATGACTCGAAGCTTGTCCGACTTACTCAGAATTTAATTCTTGTTATCGTTATTCAAATGGAAAACTATGATTTTTCAGCTGACAATGCTGCATTACTGATTGTATTGCCATGGATTATACTTTATCGTTTGATTCTTAAGTAAGTTTTTAAAGATAATATTTATTTTTATTGCTGAAAGATTTATCATGGCTGACATATATGTATCACTTGTTATAAATTAATTTTTATTTCTTGTTTTAAAACAGTGATATTATATTTCTGTCATTGCTGAAAAAACACCCTTTAAATGTTTGTTTATAGTGAGGAACGAAGAAAGTCAAAACGCTCACAGTCAGTTGCTGGGAAATCAACAGCTGTTGAAATTGGATCTGCTGGAAATTCTAGTAACAAAACTGGAGTTACTAATTTCCTCACAGATTTTGATTTAAGTGCCTCAATGCCTTCTTCTCTCATGTTGCTTTTCACAGCTCATGAGTATTTAGGAAGGTAATGATGCTTTCTGTAATTTCTGTGTATTTGTAGTTGATTGAATTAAAAAAGAATTTGAATATTTATTTTGATAATGCTTAGGATGATAATATTACTGATAATTTTTATTTAATTATTATCTGAAGGAGTGGAATCATTTTTCCATAGGTGAAGAATTAGACTTTCTTTCGGTAGTCACTTTACAATTTCAGCTCTCAGAAAGAAACTCTTTTCCCTCATTTATCCTGTGGATTAAAACATCATGCACTTTTTGTATTTTTTATTTTCTTCCCTTTTATTAAATATATATTGGACAGCTAAGAGGAAGTACTATATTTCATTTTAACTCCCAATATATACTAAACACATTTTATAGAATATTTTATATTTATTAGGTTCCCAATAACTTCAAATACATTTTTTATTTTATTATATTATATAAGTGGAATAAAAATGTCATCTTGTGAAACATTAGAGACTTAATCAACCTGTGTGTGACATTAAATCTATAAGATGAATATATCTTTTACATTAACTGTTTCCATCATTTGAATTTGTAGTTGGTTTTAGTTTTTATACTTAGTATTTATAGATGATGAAATCCTCCCCAATAATTTAATCAAATAAATGAGTACCTTACTAAAAGTAAGACAAACTGAAAGATCTTCACTTTAAATATCTTTTTACTCCAGTATAGCGTTAATAGATTCATTACATTAATTAATAATGCACAATATCCAAAACACTAGAATCAATTAAGACTTCTTATTATCTTTCGAACAACAGCTTCATTTCCATCTTGTAACAATTAAGAGGTATTACTTACCTCTTTCTCATTTTTTAAATCAAAAGATGGTGTAACACGATATAACTTTACAACATTCTCTGTCTTGAGTTTTTTGGGGGAAGCGGGACTCAGAAGTAGAGACTTATTAACTATAATCATGATCTGGAATTCTTTCAGTAGTTCATACATTTTTCTGCATTATATTTTACAACAGAAAATCTTTGCATCTGTTTTTTCCTATAATGTTAATTACTTATTGTATTATCTAATATCATAGTGCTTAAATATGATTAATGAAAAAAATATTTCAGCAGTAATACCATATTCTTGATAAGTAACTTATTTAACACACTGGAAGAAGAAGCATCTCATGTTGTTTAAAAATTATTTCTTATTGATTTCATATTGCCTGGAAGCAGTTTTTAATGCAACAAACAAAAATTCAACAGATTTGGAAATTTAAATTATTTTTAATGACTTAAAGTGCATCACAAATCTGGAGAAACAACAGATTCTGTATATTGGGTCTGAATAATCTAAAGCAGGCAAATTAAATTTTAAATGTAAAATTTTTGGTCTGGTATATTATATGAGATTCAGTTCTGTTCATTGCAGTTTATTTACCATGCATATTTTCAGTGTTTAAATAATGTTTAAAAAAGATATTCTTTATTGGCTTTTAGAAGATCATGGTGTACAGCTGCTGATGGTTTGTTACTTCTTCATTGCATCGATGTTATGATGGCAGAACTGCAGGATACCAAAGGAAATTCATATTTATACAGAGAAGATCTAGAAACTGGTTTAGAGCAGTGTATATATTGTTTATATGGTCATCCAAATAAACGAACTCGGGCGAAACATTTGCAGGAGCATAATGCTAAACAGGTTATTTTTAATTTAATTATTAATCCATATTTTTTCTTTGCTTTAAATTTTTATCTCTCATTGCAATTAACAAAAATATTGCCTAACTTCATGAACTATTTTTTTATGCGTAGAATCTAAGTAATCCAATTATTAAATTTTGAAAATTAATTAAGCTGATTAAAGCACGTCAAAAATGTATGTCATGTGTAATATATCAAATGTTTATGCTAGAATGTAACTAAATTTACAACTGATGAATTGATAAAATTTTTGAATATATAGTTTAATCTAGTCTTTAATTATGAAAAGCTGTAAAAGCAGACAGTTTTAATAAAAGCTAGGCTGCCAAATTTCAAATACTGGTGTGAATTATGAGCACTGACCTTACACATTGTAAAAAATCCGTGAACTCTTGACTTCTTGGAAGCTTATCTGTTTAGAAGCCTTAAAGATTAGTAAATAGTTAATGCATTTTTTGGTCAACTGCATCATCATATGTTGTATTCTTCTGCAGGTAAGTTAAAGAGAGGGAAACAGTTCGGAAATTCACCGGATAGAGAATATGCATTCACACTATTATACTGTACTTATCAATACCTAATTTTATGTTTTCTGTTTGTTGGGTGAATCATTTACTTAAAAGTATCTATATTACATCATTATTATTTTCTTAGTTTGGTTTAGTTTAAAACAAGGAATGAAGCAGAAAGGGTTTTTTTTGGGGGGGGGTGTAATTTAAAATAAGAAATGAAAATTAAAACATGTTAATTGTAAAACGTTTAATAATTTGTAACCTACAAATTTGTTCTTATGGTCATGTTACATTATGTGGAAACAGAAAAAGTAAATTTAAATAAATAATATGGGATAGTCAAAAACTAATTTCAGAAATGAGATGCTGTGCCACATACAGGCAAATCACGCTGCACAAAAAGGTTTGCCAATATGTCATAATAGGCAAAACTGTTAAGCGTTTAAAGTACATTTCAGAATGTTGCAAAACATATTTATAAAGCAATATATAATTATGTATTAACTTGTTTAAGATTAAATAGTTGTCAAAGTAAACCAATATAGTTTTAGTTTGACACTATTGCTACAGTTTTATATAAATTCTGTGCTGCTCATGTTGAAAGCAATTTTTTCTAAATTACGTTTTGTTTAAATTTTAAAAAGTTTATGGTTACCATAATGTATAGTCAGGAGAGGTTGACTGCATATACATTTGGGCCTGGGCTCAAATATCCTCCAAAGTGTGAAAATTTATGACTGTAGTGACTTCATAGTATTAAGGCCCGTCTACACGAAGCGATTTTCTCGGCCCACTTTCTCGTAGAGCAACAATTTTAAGGATCTGTGCATGCGCCAAAAATCGGTCATGTTCTCTGCCGCGATTTCAGACCTGGTGCTCACTAGCGTACGATAAAATCGGAGTCTCTAGCCAATAAGATTGCTTTGAGTGATCATGTGCTTTTCTCCTCATTTGGAATAATAAACATGGCTGCATTTCGTTGGAGCAAAACTCAAACTTTATATATTCAAATGTTCTATAATTCCGGGTGAAACTGATTTTACTTCCCCAAGAAAAGTTCCGAAAACTATTAATAATGCCATGCCATGGGTACTAGATGAAAATATTCAGAAACTACTTGAAACTGTGGTCGCACTTACTAAAAAAATTCAAAAAACAAAATCTCCGGTCGAGAATAAAGCAGCGCAGAGACTCAATTGACTTCGCCGAAAATGGGAGTTAATCACATGACGAAGTACATAGCTTTTCCGACAACTCCAACACGAGCAATCGTAGCCTAGTGGTAAAGAGTAGACGAGGTTTTCTTTGTACGTCAAGATCGTGGGTTCGATCCCCCACCTTAATTTTGGACTTTGTGCGCCTGGAAGATGCAACGTGTTTTAGATCTACTGGTCAAAAGAAAGTCACAAACTCAGTTTTGTGTTAATTAAATTTTGCGAAAGCAAATTACAGCCCAATTTAATTCAATATTGCTAAATTTTATTCGCTGATTAACTGATAGAGTCATATAATCATAGTTTTCAGACTGTATTAGTTATTTAATTATGCTGATATTAGTTTTTTTATGTTCAATAAATATACTACTTAAGACTTTGCACCTTTATGATATTTCTTATTTAAAATAATTGCACTGAAATTACACTGTTGCTTTATAATGTAGTAATCTTTATTCTTTATTAATACTTTTTACTCATATTGGTTTGATATTCATGATATTATTGTCTATTTATCCATTAATAAAGGTTTTGATTTAAAGCACAGTAGTTACTTATTTTTTCTGAAAAATGGTTATTTTATTATTTCAAGATTTAAATGCATAAATAGGAGTGCCAGAAAGTGAAATTTAAAAATAAATAAATAAACTAAAAAAGGAATAATCTGTGTACTCAGTACACACACACACCACACACAAAAAAAAAAAAAAAAAAAAAAAAAAAAAAAAAGTAATAATTTTTCTGCAAACTAAATTTAGCAAAAAATCAAAGTCAACGCGGCATCATCCGTAAATACTTTCCGAATTGTACTGTGTCTTCAATACGCAACTCCCGAAGCAGGGAATTACGAAGGCACTTTGAATTTCTCGTCGTTTGACCCAATTTCTGGTCCAAATGCATTTTTTCCCCTTCTGTAGCAGTAGCTAAGTTCAAAATTGTAGCTGTATCTATAGTAGCAATTTAAAATAGTCATCCATTATTTTGACTATTTGACAACACCGTAAGCTTTGTTTACAAATCATAGACAGTATGACGCTGTAGAGGCCGGGAACACTTCCTTTCTTAGTGATTGGCTGAGTGAATTCCTGTACTAACAAGAAAATCATTCCGTGTGGACAGGCGAGCTATCTCAGATATTGTCGGCCAGATAAGTCGGCCGAGAAAATCGCTACGTGTAGAATAGCCTTTAGAGTATTTAGGTATCTAAAATCTGTTTTCCATCTTTTACAGTTGGACAGAACTGGGATAATAAGAAACTCTCATGTATTTTGTCTAATTTAAATTAGCAATCTGAAAGTTTTTGGTCTTTTAATTATATTTAAATGGTTTTTCCAAAATAAATAAATAAATAAGGGTTTACTTTTAAGTATTAGAATGTTTTTTGTAGATATTTTACAATGTTCATCAGTAAAGTTACGTAGAAATAAAAGTATTTGAATATGTATTCATAATTTATATAAGCTTCTGGATTATTTTAAAATACATTACAGATTCCTTTGACATGGGAGAGAGCAGTTTTAATATTTCAGTATTTCAAACCTAACATTTTGCCTGAATTTGACAGTTATCGAACAAGTACAGTTTCAGCAGAAGTAAGTATGATTAATATTATTTTACTCACCTTTTATTTTTATAGTAATAAAAGTAAAATCCAGAGTTGATTTGATTAATGTTTCTGATGTAAAGATCTTATAACATGTGCAAATACTATTTTCCCCTTCCATCTCTATTGTTAATCAATGAAGAATGTCTATGTATTTATGTATTACATATTTTGTGCAGACTTCAATTAAAAGACTCAATGATTTAGAAATGATGTGTTGCCACTCACTTTACTGATGTTTCAAATTTAAACAAGAAATTTGGTATTTTAAAAGTAATGATTTGTCGTTTAACAAAGTGTAAAATATTTATGCTTCATATTTAATGCATAGACTAGGTAAATTAAAAGAAATAATGTTGCCACTGCCTGCAATAAATTATTTTTATCTTTCAAGTGCCAGTTTTTTGTCATTTGGCATAAAATAGGATTTTCCTTTCATATTTAATCTGTTATTGCTTATCATACTCAATAGTTCAAAAGCACTAAAGCTGCAGTAAAAAAGTGGCTGGCAAAAATGAATTCATATTGTATATTATAATGGTATGTTTTGTTTTTAAAACTGAAGATACAGTAATCAAACAGATATTTAAAAAATTTTAAATATTCATTAAAAAGTAATAAAATAGGAATGAGTGTTAAAAAGTCCATAATGGTTTTTTAATTAAAATAATTTAAATACTATTTTTAAAAACATTAATTCCTTTTAGTGCATTTCTCATAATTTCGAGTATTTTCCATTGTAGTATTAAATAGTTTTAATTATTTATTTTGCTTTGCTTGTACTGAAAATTTTTTAAAATTATTTTTCAATGAGTTTTCATTATTAAAGATGTATGTTTTCTATTTGGTGAAAAATATTTTTTTCTAATGGGTGTATTATATTTAAGACTATTATTATTGGTCAATACTATATATAATATATAAACCATCTTCATAGAAGTCTGTATGCTGCCCTTTTTTATGCAACTTGACCAATAGTTGCAGTTTCAAAAATGGTTAAAATAAGGAAAGCTTCAATTATGGAATTTTAAAATTTAATAAATCAGTTTTTTAAAATTACAAAAATCTAACTTTATTAATTCCCATGTGAAGTTTTTCCATTTTAATGTTTTGAGACCATAAGAAATGTATTAGGTATTGAAAGGTGGCTATATAATTTTTTTTCAAGGCTTTATCTTACAGTTTTTGTTAATTAATTACATCTTCTTCTAGTTGTGTGTTATTTAGTTTTATTACTTTTTAAACTAGGACCTCATGTTATTAAAATATTTGGTGCTTACATCTTAATGCAACCACCTTGGTGCAAGCTTGTGATTTTCACAAGTTTTTTAAAACCATTCCAAAACTCTCATATTTACTTATCATAAATCGGCTAATGTTATCAATGTATCATAATGAAAAACACTAAAAATTTTAATTGTTACCTAAAATTATATGGTGCTTTAAAAACAAATGAAACACATTTTTCACAAAATTCTTCTCTAAATTTTAGTGTTGTTCTTCTTTCCATGTACAAAACAAACTATTTCTGCTTATAAAACATTAAAGAATTGCACAAATTCTGTATTGCACATTAGCTGGTTACCAAATGTATCTGATCGTTGTTCCCTTTAGCGATTTTATGGCAAATCATTGTATTTCTGCAGAAATTTTACTGTAGTTTTTTTTTTATTGCTGGCAAATTTTACAAGCAATATTTTAAAATTTAAGTTTAAGGCAAAAAAATATTATAATTTGTTTATAAAAATCATTGGTACTTGGAATGCTACGAAAAGAATTCATGTGGGAATGGTGATGTAGTTTGATTGAAGGGTTATTATGAACATGGTTGCCTGACGAATGTTTATGCACATAATTATCAGAGTTTGGCACATTCTGAAAATTTGTCAATTTCTACTAGCTGTGATAGTATAAATAAGTACCAAATATTTATATTATTTAATATCTATAAACCAGTTGCATTGTATAATAAATCTTCATTCATTTCATCATTTCATTGTCCTTCATTGTCCTTTAGCTCAGGGTTCGGCAACCTAGTAGCTGTGATATGTTAAACCAATCTACCAATATGATTCAGGATGCCGCACGATATTAAATATTTGAAACAGTTTGATTCCTGTGGCAATGCATGCAGAGTTGAATAGAGGACAATAATATTGAGGGTCTTCTTATTTATTAATTATGCATCATTTAACGATATTTATTAACATAAAAATAAGCAGCATAAAATATAACTATTCCTTCAATATAAATAAAAAATTAAATTTGTACATATATTATGTATCTTTTAAACATATTTGTTAAAATGAAAAAATATATGTTATAAAATAGAAGTATTACTTCAATATAGTTAAATAAAAAATTTAAATTTTAATGTGAACCTTGTCCTGTACCACTGTACTTAATGTCGCAATATCAGGGATATAATTTGTGACTTTTGATTTGAGACATTATTCGGAATATTCAGTTGTTTAAACAATTCTTTGTGGGCTCAAAATATTTTTCATATGCTAAAAGATTTGTTCGCATAGATATGTGGAACCATAAGTGGAAAGCAGAGCACATGCAGTTTTCTTCAAAAAATTAAATCTCTTTAGCATTGACATCCAGCAATTTATCATTAGAGTTAGCTTCCAGATTTTTCCATAATTCCATAAATTTTGCTTTCCACAATTCTGAAGCTGATAGTTCAGTAAGTTCCACTTAAAATTATCACCTTCCATCCACTCCAAAATTGACAAATTGGATGAGATTATTAATGGGTCTATTAAATTTGGTTTGATTGGAAAGAAAAATATAATCAAACAAGTTCAAAGTCTTTGCATCCTTTGGAAAATTCTTCCTTAAGTGCGTCAATGTAGATCTGAATTCTGAAAGATTGAATCTTTTTTGTCTAATGTAAATGTATTTGAAAGCGCTGTATATTTGAGAAGTATTTATAAGTACTAGTATTAAGATCATGGAAAAATATATTTAATTTTGTAGCAAAGCCTTTCCAATATTCAAAAGGTTCAAACTCTGTTTGGCCCTTTCCTTGTATTCCTTAGTTCGTTGAGATGTTTAGTTATATTAGTCAGAAACATCAATTTGCATTACCATTCTTTATCATTCAATTTGGGGAAATGTTGATTCTTCTCATTAAGAAAAACTTTAATGTGTTTCTTGGGTGACACAAACTTATTCAAGACATTATTTGAACTAAGCCGATAAGCATGGATGTATAAGGGGAAATCCACATATTTGCTTTCCATTTCTTCTAAAAGAGATTTAAATTGCATGTCTACCAGTGGAGAACAGACACTATAAAATTAACTTTTTTAACAAAGTGTTCATTACAAAAATGAAGCACTGTGACAAGGTTTTGGCTACTAAACTTTCCTGATAGCACAGAGAGGTGATATAGCAATTTATCTTTGCCTAATAATTTTGTAGAGAGCCACTGAGAATTGTGCCACATGCCATAGGTTGACGACACATGTTTTAGCTTAATGAAATACATATTTATTTCAACTGGGAAGGAGCTCTGAGTTTTATAAAAGGAGATTTATTACAAAATAATTATTCTTCTGAATGTTGCTATATTAAATTTACTTTAATTTAACATGAATTTAAAAGAGATGTAGCGAAAACATTCATGTATACATGTTTACATGTAAACGTGTAACATGTATACATGTATAGAAAAATTTGGGGGCTTCATTAGTATTCTATTCACTGTTCCTATCTTACATCAGCAGTCAACAAAATTTAGATTGTTACAGTAACTCAATATATATAAATCAAAATCACATTTTATGTGATATAACATTTATGAAAATCGTAAAATAAATACTCATTTAAAAAAAAAGACTATATCCAGTGATACTGCTTTACATCTGTCAAGGCTTATATCATAACATTAAATAAATAAGTTTCCCAGGTGAGTTCTATTTATATTCTATTCGGAGTTACCTACAAAGAGATCTATTGCATTGTCTGATTTACTAGATGATATGGCACAAAGTAAGTATTGAGTGAGATTTATACTCAAACATGATTGACAATTCTAAAAATTGCAAAAAAACTCCTTCTAGAAGCTGTGTTTTGATATACTTATTTGAAACAAATGTCTCCATAAGTTTAAAAAAAAATTGTAATAAAAATTATGAACTAATAATTTTTTTTAAAAAAATTCTAATTAATTTCATTCTAATGTTATATACAAACAAAATGAAATATGATTGTTATAGATAGCTCATGAAGAAATAAAATGATTAGATGGTGGATATTTAAATACAAGTAATTTGTGAATTTAAAAATGATTTTTTTTTCTTTAATTAAATTGATTTTTTAAGCATTGTATTTCACATTAAGTAACATCAAATTTAGTATCCATTTTTTTAAATTTTTTATTCTAAGGGTCTACATTTATGAAAATTTCATGAATGTAGAGCATTAGAGGCATAAAATATTAAATTATGTGTTTTATATTGTAATGTAAAACATATAATTGAATATTATAGTTTTATTAAAATTTAAGAAGCATGAACTGATCATTATAGTTAATGTCATTTAACATTTATCATATTGTAATAATTAGATGTTTGTTTAGTAAATAAGGACCATTGAGATATATTAATTAATGACTTAATTTAAATGTAATTTTAATGCACTTAAGTATATAATGTATGTATTTTCTCTCAAAGAAATATTTTCCTCCTTCATATCAAAGTTGTGTATCATCTAAAATAATCTGAATAAAACTTTGTTCAGACAATTCAGGCTAAATATTTTGCATTTAAGTATTCTAGTTTAATTAATCTGGTCAGAAATTTTAGAAAGAAAAAGTTTTGATTTAAATTTTATTTGTAATGTAATTTCTGCACAAATTCACTTTATGTTGTCTGTTTTGAGAAAGTTTTTATTTTAGCATCATTCTTCTTAAATAAGTAGTCCATTTAATGTAGTTTCTAGTTATTAAGACTATATATTTCAGCTGTATGATTTTAGAAAATTTATATATTTATGCTGTAAATAAATATTTTGTAAAATGTACTTCAGCCACCAAATTGAGATGAGAAGGAAGGAAGCCAACAACTCTTAATGATTAGGCTGTTCTTTTTGTTTATGTTAATTACAAATTTTTTTAAAAAATTATTATTAATTTTTTTTTTAATTTAGTTGGAAAACCTTTTAAAAAGGATATCTGCATTAGTTCCTCCTGAGGAAGATCCTGCAACAAAAGTTGATAGCTACACTGCATATATTGAAGGAGGAACTGACAAATGTCCAGATCCTCCATTTGGTAATAAAACTCCAAGGTAAAATATTTTATTCTAATAGGATTCATTAAAAATTGATTGATTTCTCTACATCCCCTTACTTAAGATTTAACTAGAAAAATTATTTCAGTTTTATTTTTGGATAAAATTTTGCTTATGTTGTATATCTTGAACTATTTCATGACATCAGATTATTTTTTGAACAAGAGTATATAGCTTGTGAATTGAAACATTAAAGGACAGGATCTCAGTTCACTTGTTAAGAATTTTTTTCTGTTCTGAGATGCAGCCATTAATTTCAATATAAACAAGGGGGGAATGATTCTTTGAAACCCAATAAATAAAATATTAATTTTTTGAAATTATAATAGAAATAGCTTTGGGAAGAAGTGTAAATAGCTTTGTGAAGAAGTATAGAATTATCAGTAACTATCAGAATCGTTCTTCTGAACCACTTTAAGTAATTTTAGTACTTGATTCTTTTGACCAGTCAATATATTAATTATTTAATAATGTATCTTCATTTAAGTCATCAAAGATGTTGGAGATGCAAAATTTTTTCATTGATCTTTACATTATGGTAACTTGGCATTTTTTTGGCGAAAATTTGCCGACCAACTCTCCTACAGCAACCCTCTATTTTTTTTTTTCCGCCGCCATTTTGTCTTCACGAAGTAAAGACATGTTTCTTTTCTTTTACTGAACACTTCTTCCAACAATCTACTAGCCAAATTACATTTATGCTAGAAATTTTATCTAACAAAACTGCTTAATCATGACAAATATTCACTGCAAAATTGGGAAAAAGTGCACAAAAAAACCATACTCCTTATGCGTTTTTAAAAATAACACATACACATAAACCATGTACACGGCGACTTATTTTTACTTAAAAAAACATCCCAGAATTGCACAAAAATGGCATTGCGCACACTCTTCACTATATCCATGTACACTGCTTTTTTCACATAAATTAGAAAAATTTCACGAAAATACATGACAATTTTCTGAATCTTTAAACCCGGTAAAAAGAACATATATGAAATTACCTGATTGCGAAAAAGTTTATACCCTTTCCAAATATGAACATTTCCACATATAAAATAAATAAAATATCCAAAAACTTTTACCTCTAAATCATCTATTATATTATACACGTCACCAACGAATTCATACCGCAAGCATTACAAATACTTAGTGTCAAATATTTAAATTATTTCCATGCACGTTTACTTCAACTTAAATGTATACCAAATTCCTACAAACATAAAATTCACAAAATAACTATCATTTAATTAAAATATCACTAAACCATGTACACGTCGACTTATTTTTACTTAAAAAAAAAATCCCAGAATTGCACAAAAATGGCATTGCGCACACTCTTCACTATATCCATGTACACTGCTTTTTTCTCATAAATTAGAAAAATTTCACGAAAATGCATAACAATTTTCTGAATCTTTAAACCTGGTAAAAAGAACATATATGAAATTACCTGATCGCGAAAAAGTACATACCCTTTCCAAATATGAACATTTCCCCGTATAAAATAAATAAATATAAAATATCAAAAACCAAAAACTTTTACCTCTACTCATTATCTATTATATTACAAACGTCACTAACTAATTCATACCTTTACTTCATTACAAATGGTTACAAATACTTAGTGTCAAATATTTAAATTATTTCCATGCACGTTTACGCAAATTACTTTACTTCCACCTTACATTTAGAACAATGCATAAAAATAATATCCTCAAATAATTAAAAATACTAACTTACCTATTCTTCTTCAGAATCTTGATTACGTGACCGATAAACTTTTCTTATTTCTGTTTCAGGATCTTTAAAATCATACTTATAGTTCACACCAAGGTACCAGGTAAAATAAATAACTTAATAAAACATCTTTACTTCTATCTCGCACAACCTTAAAGAAACACTTATTACCCCTTTCAATCCCACTAAATACCCATTTCGAATTCACTTTAGTTAGGGCCATGGGATCCAAAAATTAACGAACACTGTTTCACACAACACAGAATAAAGGCAAATACAAAATTTCCAGATTTTTTTCCCGATTTCCCCCCCTTTTCCGATTAAAGAACCGTAATTCGTCCATTAATATCACGACATATCATATGATCTCTCATTTCCCTCACACAAAATAATGCGTAATCGGAACTGAGTACTGCTCACATTATTACCAAAGTCCCAGGTAGTAACCTTTATCACCTCCAAAATGTCGCCAAACTACCAGTTACCATATTGTAAAGATCAGCCAATTTTTTAAGTTATTGTAACTGTGTGTTATATTTCTGGGATAAGCAGGAAGCATGTTTCATATTTTTCTGAAAAGTATTGACTAAATGTTGTAAGTAATCAATCAAATTTCATTTCCTTTCTAATATAATCCTTTAATTGTTTATTGACTGGGGGCAGAATTATCATGTTTAGAAATGAGGAAAGTTAAGATGTAATGTGTAGCACAAGAAAATTTAAAATAAACTATGATTCTAAGATTTTATAGATTATACAAATGTATAAAAATCAGGGACACATATATTCCATTCCATTTTTAGAAACAGTTACATTGAAAAAATTTGTGCAAATATACTTCAGTACAAAGTCCGTAATCCGGACGTCCATTATCCAGAATGATCTATAATCCAGACCTCAAAGCCACAAACTTACGTATGTGCGTAAAGCCAGTAAAGCGTTTACCCATGTGCGCTTCCGATAGTGGAGAAAGTAACAGAGAACATTATTGAAAACGAAAAAATTTCGATTGACAAGTTAGTCGGTATTCTAGACACAGCAATTACAGGACTTGAACAGTGGAACTTTGTAATTGAACAAGAAATGATGTCTGTTTATAGAATTAAAGAGAAAGTATTAGCACAAAAAACGAAGCAACTTAAACAACTTACATTGATAGAAATGTTTACTACAGTAAACCAAGAAATATTGAGCTTTTTTTATTATTTTTTTTTAATTTTATTTATTTATTTTATTTATTTATTTGTAAATTTTGATACCCTCTAGATCGTAATTGCTCTTTATTTCATAAATTGCGGTTTCATATTTTTAATTGTATAATTTCTGCATGCCATGTTACCAGATTTAAATTGATGATCTCTAATCCGGAATCGCCGAAGTTCCTACGTGTCCGGATTACAGACTTTGTACTGTATATTGCTATTAATGACTGCTCAGACCCTGAATTAAAAATAGGCTCTCCGATATGTTCACCGGTGCATGTCATGAAACCTGTAAAAAGGATCTTGAGCACTCTGTAGAAATATATGTTATCTATAGTTATTGAAATGGGTGTATAATGCTGAAAGAGACATGATTATTTTGGTAGATTTTGATAGTTCTTCCATTAGAGTACTGTTAGATTCCAGATACCACACACAACCATAAGTGATACATTCATGAAACTCTAGGATAAAGCCGTGACTTTCAACACAAAATAAAACATCTCTGGAATGAATTAGAACACTGGTTGATAGTCAGATCAAATTGCTATTGAGCTGATCACCATATTTCAAAAGACGTGGAAGAAATATTTGCAGACATCAACTAAAATTTATTGGGAAGACTTTGTCTAGGAATAGAGGCTTTTACAGTATCAAATGGCAGTAAAAAAGTCATGCTAAAATCATACTATTTTCAGTTAATCACTTTACTGTAAGAACCCAGTCAGTAATAGCAATATAAATATCAAAGAACACTGTTGTATACACTGACTACCAATAAGTATTTGGACACCTGTGATAGAAAAGAAAAACTAACTTTATTCAAAATCAATAGTTGGTAGAGCCTCCACAAGAGGTAATTACAGCGTGGACCCTCCGGCCATACTTTTCACAAGTCTTTGTATGACAGCTAGTGGTAATTTCTTCCACTCGGCTTGGAGAAGACATAGAAGTTCCTTCACCGATTTTGCACGGGTAGTGCACCCCTGAATTCGGCGATGCAACTCATCCCAGAAGTTCTTGATAGGGTTCAGGTCTGGACTCTGGGCAGGCCAGTCCATTCAATGATCTCCATTGGCACCATACCAAGCCTTGGTTAATGTCGAAACATGACAACTGGCATTGTCGTCCTGAAAGTAACAGGGATTTAACCCGTAAAACTGCCACAATGTAGGAAGCACATTGTCATCCAAAATAGTGCAGTAGGCATCGGAGTTGAGCTTGCCATGAATGGGGACCAAAGGTCCCAGCCCATACCAGGAGAAACACCCCAGACCATAATTCCACCTCCGCCGAACTTGACTGTTGGCACAATGCATGCTGGCAGGAGACGTTCTCCAGGTAGACGGCAGATCCAGACCCTGCCATCCGAACGGTAAAGGGTGAACCTTGATTTGTCACTCCAAAGAACCCATTTCCACTGATCTACGGTCCAATTTCGATGTGCTTTGCACCACATTAACGGAGCAGCGCGGTTGGACTTTGTGACCAAAGGCTTATGGGCAGCAGCACGACCATGAAAACCAAGCAGATGTGCTTCCTTATGGATGGTATTCATTGAAACAATACTCCCGGATGCCTGTTGAAACTCCTCGCGGATGAGGGCCATCGGTCTTTCTGAATTTCTCTGGACAGCAGTCGTTGGTCTCTATCTCCCAGTTTCATTAGTCCGAGTCGGGGAACATTCCGACAATAACCGCTCACCTTCCACTTCTTAATCATGTAGGCCACTGTCGATTTTGGGTACTTCAGATCGCTAGATATGTCCCTTAAGGATCAGCCAAATTTGTGATACCTGATAATTATACCTTTCTCGAAATCAGAGAGCTTCGAACTGCGAGGGATCTTGTATGCGACTAAAGCCAATGCTGTTTCCTACACAATATATACCGGCGGAGTCTGTGACGTACCTTAGGACCACAGATATCGTCATTTGCATAGGTGTCCAAATACTTATTGGTAGTCAGTGTATATAGGTATAAAAATGCATGCACAACAATTATCTTTCTGATTCTTTTCAAATTAGTTAGTTATATTATATATATATTTAAACCAAGTAAATAACAGGAACAAAATACATTTGAGTTCTCTTTTAACTACTGAATAGTATAAAACTTTCATTGAAATAAAGAATTTTGAAGAAAAAGTTTATTAAGTCCTATATTGACCATGATTTGAATCTTATTTAGATATGCAGCTTGTGTATCTCTTATTGATTGATTTCACTATTTTATTTGTAAATCTGTGATTTATTGAAAGAAATTTTATAAACTGCAAATCGTAAACAAAATTGATAATAATTAAAAAGTTACCAACAAAATCAATCAAATATAAAAATAAATACAGTGCTTGCTGCTTATAAAACTCAATGGTTAATAAATCAGCAGCTTATTACATTCAAATTTCTAGGAACCAAAACAAATATATATTAATCAATAGAAAAACCACTGTTTATTAAACCAATTTCTGCCCCTTATAAACTGGGAATAGATTTACATAATACTTCAATAAAACGGGTTTAGCAGAAATTTCAGCAGGTGTAGTCAGAGCCAGCTTTACTTGAGGGAGTGTTGGGAACCCTTCCCTAGTTCCTGTCAGATACGGTTTATAAATCTCTTTGTCCGGACAAAAGTTGTGAGCAACAGAATACCTTTATCTTATGAATAACAAAAGCAGTTTTCTAGTGGCATTAAAAACAAATCCTTTGATTGTAAATGAGTTGATGTTTCCAAGGAAAAGGTGGTGCTTAAATGAGCTCTGGTTCCTTTTCTCGAACACTGGCTGATAGGAGTTGACACACATTAAGTTTTCAGGGTATTCTCAGTAAACTTCATCAAGTGCTTCATTGCATTATTATGCATCATTAATCTTTGGTTGGAAAAGGGGAGTGGTCATTGTAGGCTGAAGAGGGAAGAAAAGAAAGCATTGATTATACCTATAAAAACCATGAAGTGGCATGTCTACTTGACAGACAATGTGCAAACTTCCTGCTGGCTAGAAACTGGTGTTTTGGATTTGAACAAATCACTGGAAGAAACATTTTCTGTTTGCTTTCTGTTTGCTTTATATATGTCAAAAATGCCTAAATGAAATGGCAGGCTTGAAAGAAAAGGATAAATTGCTGAAGGATTGTGATACATTTGGAAAATTAAGAACTAGTGAAAAATGCTCAAGGAAGCACAAAAGGGAGGGAAAATTGAGAGACGCTGAAACTACTGGAATGGTTTCAAGTTGTGAGACTAAATATTGTTCCGATTTTTAGATCTCTTCTGACAACAAAAACTGTAAAATACGTTAAAGTGATAGGAGACTTTGGGCATCAGTGAGGGAAATTATGAAGATTTATTTTTATAATACATTGCTCTTGATGATAATATTGAGACACCATATGAAAGTATTGGCTATATGAAAGTATTGGCTGTTAAAAAAGCTGCAGAAACTGTAACTGACAATGAAAGTGATAAGGAAGAAAATGACTAGAAGCCAACCTCAGCTGAACTGAAAAAAGCACAGCAGACTCTAAGAAGAAATCTTGAATTGAAAAAGTGGAGCTCAGAAAAGCTACCAATAGTTTTATGACCTTGAAAATAGCATTGAAACATTTGACAAACAATATGAAATAGATACATCAGTTCTTTCTAAAAGTTTAAAATTTCATCAGGTATGCACATACAATTTTTTTTGTATTAAAAAAATTAGTAATTCTTAGCTTAATAATTTAGGTATTAATTATTAGATTGTGAATTGCTATCTTACTTAATAAGTTTCAAATTGACATGCAATATTGAAATAGCCAATATGTTTGGAGCAGAAGTGATTTTTAATAACTGTTAGGTATTGTAATAATAAATGAATTTTATATAATAAGTAACTGGAAGCTCAAATAATATATGTATGTAGATTCATATTCTTATACATACACATATATTTATAATAATACAAAAAAGAAATACTTTAATCTATCTAAAACAGCTGGAATTTGATGCATCAAAATGTTTCAAAAACAATCCATTAATCCTTAATAATTATAAGAGAATATTTTAACCAAAAGATTAAAAAAAATAAAGTGCTATATATCTCACAGCATTCTCCTCGGTAGGTTTGGTGCCACAAGATAAAATGGAGCACTATATTTCTGAAAATAAAAGGATGGCCATTTTCTGGCCATATAAATGTAATGGAAAATTTAATAATTCAAACTGATAAATTCCTACAAATTTGCATTTAATATACTAAGTGTTCATTTATTTACTCCAATCCCTGCATAGCAAAATTCAGGCTGATACTGTAGATCTGACTAAAATTACATAGCCACAAAAATTTAAGCAATAACATATGCCACAAAGGAAGTAAATAAGTTATTAAATGCAGCAAACCAGTCAGCAGTGCATCTTTTACATATACAAGGTGGTTAAAATTAAAATACCCCTACTCTGAGTTCTCTGTACATTGAACTACTGAATGTAAAGGCCCTAAAATTGTTGAACGTACTATTAAAGACATGAGGAAACGGATTATGTGAAAAAAAATTAGTACCAGAAACACCGATAGGTGGCGCTGTGCAACGGAAAATATACTGAAAACGCACAAATTAAAAAAAAAAAAAAAAATGAGGTAGGGAAATATTCCTTTTTAATTTCTATTGCTAATATGGGAAAAAAAATAGAATACCAAAAAAGTTAAGAAACTTAAATTGTCATTGTAACTGCAATTTCGCTCTCTAAGTAAAAAAATTTGCATAAACCCCTGGTTTGCAGCTGCTGTTCTTGGCATAAAAGGGGATAAAACTGGTAAAATGTCATTCTTATCAGTGATGCCTGTCATGCTGCCAGAACTCGCTTTGCTTGTCAAGTTATTTTATGAAAACAAAGGAAATGCTGCAGCTGCTCTTCGAGAGTTTCGCCTTAAAGAATTTACGCAAAGGACCATTACTTCCACAAGCTCTCAGGAGAATGATCGCCCGATTCGAGAAAACTGGACATTTTACAGTTCAGACAGGTCAAGGATGCTAATTGACTAGTTCAGATGTTGAAGATGTTGCCACTGCTATTGTTGAACATTCAATGGACAACGTTGTAGGCTGTAGTAGTGCACATGCAGTGGCATAGTACTTGGGTGTTCCCTACTGTACAGCGCGGAACGTATTGAGAAAAATGGTTAATTTTTACCTGTACAAAATTCATCACAACCAGTTGCTGGCCATCGACAGGGATAAGCGACTGACCTTTGCATTGACATTTCTGGCTAGATTTGAAGTGGATGCATTGTGGCCATGGCAGATTCTATGGAGTGATGAAGCACATTTCCATTTAAGTGGAACAGTCAACACCCATAACTGTCGCATTTATGACACTGAAAAGTCATACCTTCCAAGAGATTCCACTTCGCTCACCGATAGTTACAGTCTGATGTGGATTCACAGCCACATTCATTCTTAGACCTTTCTTTTTCGAAGAGGCTACGTGCAACAGCTCTCTGACATGCACCATAATGGCTAGGAGGTACCAAAAATGCTCGAAATTTTTGTTGTACCTCAAATGCAACAGCGCCAATGTTTTGATTCTCTTACCTTTATGCAAGATGGAGCGCCTCCACACATTGGACTTTGTGTACAACAGTTTCATCAGCAAAATTTTACAAATAATAGAGTAATTAGTCGTGCATTTCCAACAACCTGGCCATCTCGTTCTCCAGATATCAATCCATGTGATTTTTGGCTGTGGGGTTACTTAAAAAAATCTTGTTTATCGACGATGTCTGGTAACTTTGGCAGATTTTTAAAGATGGTATCACTCTACATGTGAGAAGCATCTCAATTGACCAATTACGATCAACAGTGAAACAAGCTGTCCACAGACTGCAGATTTTAGATCTTGAAGAAGGAAACCATATTGAGCAGCTTCCCTTGCAATCGATTAAGGTCTTTGTGATATGAATGTTTGGTACGTTCAAATAAAATGTGTTATAAAGTGTATTTTGTGTCTTTTCAGTATATTTTCCATTGCACAGCGCCACCTGTCGGTGTTTTTGGAACTAATTTTTTTTCACGTAATCCATTTCTCCACGTCTTGGATAGTATATTCAACAATTTTGGGGCTTTTACACTCAGTAGTTCGATGTATAGAGTTGCACTGAACTTGTGCAAAGTCGGTGATTCAAATAACAGTGGCTTGTGCTGCTGCCAAACAACATTCCATAGCACCTCCAAATGGTATTTTCAGACATATTCTTTTGTGAAGCTGATTTTTATAAAATATGGCAGGTATACCCTTAAGATTCTGATGTCATGATTTTGCAATTCTTTGTACTACTTACTATATCCTGTAGGGGCTGGAGTAGTGAAGATACATATTACTTTGATTAATTTGAGATTATTTTAAATATTAAACTTCTATTTGTTCCTTTGTTGGTTCAGAAATATCTGAACTAGTATGTTCAGATGTATGACAGCCAATGTATTTACCGCTTTTGTTCCCCTAATGATAATGCAGTAAAAAATGTAAATTTCTTTTTTGCTTTTCACTTTTGGATTTGGCATTTTTCACACCTATCATTCAGTTTACCAGTGTGTATCTTTCTTTCTTTCTCTTCCCCCCATATGGTTTTTTCAAAATTGAATATTCTTTCTCAAGATTTAGAAGCTGAATTAGGCCTATTTGTTAATAAAAGAGACATGTAATTACTAGGCAATCTAATCTAAATTAAAACTGATGTTATAGATAGGATAATCTCGTTTTCTATTCCTTTTGAACTCAGTCTTTATGTGGGTGTGTGAAATATAAAAAATAATTCCCCCCAGACAACTTCATGAATAATATATTTATATAATATATATACATTTTCTTGAAATATTTAAATTATTGTAGTATAACTATTTGTTTAACGTGGTCTTTATTTCTGTTTAGCTCTGTGGTGAAAGATTTATATTATTTACTTGGGGATTATTATTTTAAGAACAAAGAATTTAGGTAAGTATATTATGATAAATTCTGCATGCTACTGAAAAGGTGTTCTTTTAAAATTGTATGTTATTTAAAGTATTTTTAATATGTTAAATGTATAAAATATTGTAAATAAGCAAGATGCTACAGATGTTGTGCAAATAACTGTTTAAAAGCATTATTTTAAAAATATTTTTGTATTTTTATCTTATTTTCCTGTCATCCCCTCCAAGAATGTTATACAATTCACCTGCAACTTCACCTCTTCGTAAATTAGCTTTTTTAAGATTGTATCTGAGCTCTCATTATTCATTAGTGCTTTGTTAATCCATTAGTGTCTGATGTCCTTATGTACCATAGTTACAATTATGTTCTATACAGTTTTCATAAGAGTTTGTAAAAGTGGTTATTTCTATTTTTAACTGAATCTTGAATTTAAAAAAAAAAATATGTATATATATTATAGTGAAAGACCAGAATTGGAGAATGATGTCTACATTCTTAAAAAATGATGGTGAAAAACTAAATATTTGGTTATATTTTTTTACATTCAGACCATCATCAATTACTGTTGCAATAAATAAGATTGTATAAGTCAATCACATAATTAAGTTTATTATATGCATCATTGTTAGGAAATAAAATTGTTCCATCTCCAGAAAGTGTGTTACAAATGTATTTAAAAGTCATTTTACAAAAGAACGTGTCATTAGCAGGCACTTACATCTGGTAAATCGTGACAAACCTAGAACTTGCCTGATCTTAAAGCCAGCCAGCATTTTGTGTCACATGCTAAACATTTCCCAGCCTACACGCAAGAATGGATCAACTGTAGAACATGCCATCTTGTGATTTCAAATGGTAGCTGAAAATAATGACCATCATATTGGGGGGAGGTTTTTTTTTTATAACAAAATTTTTAAAACAATTGTAAAGGTGTGGCTAAATGTATAATTTATTAATATAATGCCCTCTGGTGGCGCTATTTGTAACTATTTTTTTTTTTTTTTTTTTTTTTTTTTTACACTGAAAGGAATTCTCATCCCTTCATTAAGTCTGCCACAAAATTTCATAATTTTCTAATCACAGGCTTTGCTTGTAAGCAGCTTCGAAATAGGGTTATTTAATCATGTATATATGTATATATATAGTGGCTAGTTTGAATTTAAAAAAAAGTTCATGTTATTAATAATTTAGCTTGTATCTTTGATTTTGTCTGCCTTTTGAGGATATTTAGTGCATCACTTTCTTCAAAATCTTTGCTTTTGCAAAATATTGTTATTTTTAATTTTGTATGTTTCACTAATGTTGAAATTTATGAATTCCTCAATAAGGTTCAAATGAAGTATGAAATAGGAAATACACTCTCTAACAAAACAAAAAAAAAAAAAAAAAAAAAAAAAAGCACCAAGAAGGAATCATCCAATTGCTTTGAAATTTCGTATGTATAAATGTTTTGGCCAAATATGCAAATGATTAAAATTTGGTGTCCAATGAATGAATAGTGCAATCTCTAGCAGATGTATATTAGGAGCTGTTCTTGAACTGTTGTTAAAAATTTCTGTTACATTGCGATTTACGATACCTTTCAGTGACTGAAAAAATGCCTTGCCGCAAGATTCGAGCTTATTATGAGCAACTGTCAGAGTTTAAAAGAGGTCATATCGTTGGATTGAAAGAGGCAGGTTGGGCAATTCAGAGAATCGCTGAGTCGAATCGATGCGGTGATTAGAAGATGCTGGCAAGAATGGGTAGACAATGGCAGATTTCAGCATCATGATGGTAGCGGTCGACCTAGGGCCACAACAGATCAAAAACACAGGGTTATTGTCAGATCTGTTATCACAGTGCCTGATACATCGCTATCAGCCATGAGATGTGCAGCCCGCACACAAGTGTCCACCATGAGCATTCACATATAGCTGATAGAGTGAAATCTACGCTCGTACCGACTATTAAGACACCTGCCACGCACGCCTGCACACTGTTGAGCCAGATTACAGTGGTACTTGGCTTGATCATGTTGGAATGATGCTGACTGGGGACATATGGTCTTCAGTGATGACCAGCTGTGTCGTGACAATCATCGAAGACGTGTCTGCAGAAGCCCAGAGCAGCATGCCGATCCTGCTTTCTCTATTGCATGCCACACAAGCCCTCAATCAGGAGTTATGGTTGGGGTGCCATTTTCCTTGATAGCTGGACACCTTTGGTCATCATTAGAGCCACACTTATAGCACAGCGATTTGTCAACAACATTCCGAGACCTGTTTTGCTACTGTTCCTTTTGCAGTACCCTGGCCTTATTTTTCAGCAAGATAATGTCAGACTACATACGGCATCTGTTGTTATGAACTGTCTTACAGCTTGTCAAATGCTTCCTTGGCCAGCCAGATCTCTCTTCCATTGAGCATGTCTGGAATATGATGGAAAGGCGACTGTATCTACCAAGGTATGCTGATGACCTAACCTGACAGTTGGAGCAAATTTGGCAAGAAATATCGTAGGAGATCATCCAGGAGCTTTATCAATCTATGCCATGCCATGTGGCAGCTTGCATCCAGGTCAACACTTATAGAGGTTGGTCAACAGTTTATTGAGCCTGTTACTTTGTAACTATGTAACTCTGAAATAAATCATTCAATTGTTCTTAAATTTTAATCATTTTCTATTCTGTGCTTAATCTTCCTATCCACCATTTTTGTCTCCATCAGACAACTCCTTCTTGGTGTATCAATTTTTTTTTTTTTTTTTTTTTTTTTTTTTTTTTTTGTTATAGAGTGTGTTTTAAAATATGAAATATGATAGTTTTATGTAGTTTTTTAAAAACTTGGTTCCAAACAAATTCTATACTGAAAAACAATTTTAAAGAAAATACCAAGAAGATATATGTATTAGGAAAGAGGGTATTATGTAAGCTTAAATCCATCTCTATAATTGATATAATTGCACTTTTCTCGATGCTTTTTACTATAAATCTTCCATTATTTAATTTGCATTTTTAGGTTATTTATTGCATTCAGCACACTAATATGGAGTTCAGAAGATAACGTTTATTTTGCATATTGAGTCAATTTTAGAGTAGAAATGCAGAACACTTAATATGAATGTTATTTTTAAGTTGGTCGTATGCATTCTACTAGTAGTTATTCAGCTAATTATTTGATGTATTCTTACATAATATTTCTTATTGTAAAAATTATAACATAATTAATGAATGGATATTTGAAAAAATTACTGTTTTATCTACAGGATAAGCAGATATGTGTCTAGTCCCCCCTCCCCAGTTAATTATAAGGGTAGAGAAACACTGATGTATACCTACTCTTTTCATAGTAAAATATCAGTGCATGTTGGGCCATGCCATTGTGCAAAAGTCAAATATATTTTCTTTTGTCCTTTCCTTTTTCTGGAGGAAAAGATTAAGTTGAAATTTATTCTGTGTGATTGTTATGTTTCCATCTAAAAAATATGTTTATCTCCTTTGCCTTGTTGTAAAATTATTGTTTTCCCCCTCCTCATTTTTGAGATATTTTCTCTTGCATGCTGTGATTAATTTTTTGTCAGAATTATCAAACTGCTGTAAATAACTAAATAAAAGACATAACAAGGAGGCATTTAAGTTGGTATACATATGAGTTGATATATTAATTAAATATTTTTAAGCAAATGCAGCTTTATTGTTCATATGCTACAGTAATTTTTTATGTTGAAAATTTAACTGTTATTTTGTTTATTTACTAACAGTGCGATATGAGCCAAAAAAACCAGTGTAAACAATTATTTTAAAAGTTTCTAATATATTCAATTAGTGCATTACTAGTTATGTTGTCTATGAGAAAGGTGTGCTTTTTATGTAAAAAATTCATACTTTTTTATAATAAGTAATAAATTAAAGTAAGTACAATAATTTCTAGTAGTATGAGGACTGTTCAGAAACTAACCTCCATTTAGCTGTAAATTAAAAAAAGAAAAAAGAAAAGAAAACACTTAGATTCAACAAATTTTTTATTTACATTTGAAAGGTAATCCTTTATTTTTCAACATAGTCACCATGTACATTCAAGCTCTTGTCATAGTATTTTACCAACTTACCAATCCTTTCTGCATGAAACTCAGGTGCCTGTGACTTCAACCAACTTGTCAACTTCAACCTTTTTGTCACAGCAATTTGAAGTTCCTCATCGTCAGTAAAGTGCTATGCTGAGATTATAAATTGAGAGATCTGACTAATTTTGCCAACAGTTTGTCTGATGAGATCATCACTCACTACAGACAAGCTCCCACTTCTTGATTCATCATGAATTCCATTTTTCCTTCATTGTAAAATATCACCCACTGATGTATTATACTTTCACTCATAATGATATGACATACAATTCATGATGAATGTCTGACGCTGACAGCTTTTTGCCCAAAGAAATTGTGTTACTCCTCTTACCTTGCATTCAGTGAGTTTTCAATAGCATTGCACATTTTGTGATAACCAGCACACATGTGGCAGAAGGATATTCTCAGCATAGCAGGAAGCAAACTGAATCAAAGATTGCTTGATGTAACAATGGTTGCACTTTGCCCACTACTACTAACACCACACCACATCACACCACAACAGAAATTTGTTTCCAAATTGCCTCCTGTAGAATTATTTAATATCTTTATCTTATCTTTTCAAGTTTCATTATGAAAAAACGGTAATTACAAATCAAAATAAGTAAAACTGTTTGTAATTTCTCATTTACTACTTTAAGAGCCATAATTTCATTCTTATTGATAATGTTTTAGTTAAATTTTTTAGTGTTTATGCAGTTTTTCTTCTTGTTTCAAAGCAAAGCCATCCGGTTTTATCTTTTGGACATCTGCATTAATCCTGATCGCCAAGATTCATGGGCTGGCATGGCACTTTCACGGAGTTCTCAACTAGATCAGAAGCTAAATTCTGTATGTAAATAATTTATTTTTTTCATTCACATAGATATATTATAAAAGTGTTTCTTTTTATATATATATATATATATATATATATATATATATATATATATTTCTTAAATTTAAACATGCCATCTCTTATGCAAACAGTTGACTTCACGGAATATATTTAATTAAATTTCAGTAGTGAAATAAATTTAATAGATAAAAGATGAGCTTTATAAATATTTTGAATATAAAATTTATTTATTTTATAAAGTAATACTTAAATGTTTCTGTATCATAATCATTTTGCCTTCATCATGAGAAAATAAAAATGTTAAATCTTTACAAACAGAATATGTTAGTTGGAGGATTTTATTTTAATCTATTTGTAGTATTAGTTTTTTTCCTTTAATTAACTGTTTTTCAAGTATAATTTTTCATTGTCACGGCAAAGTGTAGTTACTATGATAATACTGTTTCAGTATGAATTACGAAATGAATCTACAATATACAGAAAATCATCTGCAGCCCTGAAATGTTTTGAACATGCTTTGGAATTAGATCCAACCACAACATCTCTATGGATTGAATATGGCTCTCTTGCTTACATTTTACATTCTCATGCATCCAGGCAATTGAAACAGGTAGAGTTTCTCAATAAAATTTTTCTATGTCTGTAGAATTAATATTATTCTGTTGTATAATACAAAAATGAATTTTCTGTGTTATGTATGAAAAGGAATATACTAAGATTCAACCCTCCTTTGGCATCTTTATTCCAATACTGTCTATAAAGAATGGTTTTATAAATTCTTCAAATTGCCAATTATTTATTATACTAGCCATAAAACATAATGATGTCTGTTCATTTGATTTTATCTTTCATGAAATTTCAACTTCTTGTGTCATTCGGGGAACATCTCCTTTTATTCTGTTGATAATTTTATATTATTTTGCTTTTATCGTTTAAAGCCTTTTGTAGAAAATTAGGAACATGAATAAGAAATAAATGGTTATCTTATTAGAATTATGTTGTAGTCATTCAGTTATAAATAATTAGAAGAAAGATTCACTGAAAATTAATTATGCACTGTTTTCAGGAAACGTACTGTGATGAATTGTATGAACTTCTACAGAAGAAAAAATTAGAGATGCTAGAAGTCGCTGAGAGGTGTTTTCGTGCTGCAAATCATTGTGATGATGGTGGGGAACCTGAGGAAGCTTGGCTACATCATTATATGCTAGGGAAAATCAGTGAGAAAAAACACGATGGTCCTGAAGTTTACTTGGAACATTACAAAAAAGTAAGTTAAGCATATTTATATAATTTGCTTATTTCAGTCACTGTGACAGTAATATTTAAAATGATAATTAACAATAGATTTAGTGCTTATTTGGCAGGGATGCGTGATTCAAACTTTTCCTGTAATCAGTAATTATTTCTTCAGAAACTTCCCGGAGTGTTTTAAAGGAATAATTTGAAAATTAAATTTCTACATATATTTAAAAAAGTCAAAATTTTTATCAAAAATTAAAATTTCCTTATTGCTTAAATTTAAAACTGCTTCATGAAGAGATGCAGTCAAAATTTCTTAATTAGAATTAGGAAAAGATCAAATATGTTTAAGAATATTAATAAAGCACAACTTTTCCCTGAAGTTAAAGAAAATAATAATTGTTATTATAATTAGAATAAATCATTATTTATTTAACCATACAATGCCAAAATATTTTATGTTTTAAGTATTTTCATGATAAATAGCCTTACAGTAATTGTAGATAAATTTAGATGTAAATTCATAAAGACATTCAAACGTGCATTGTTGCATGGAGTGCTGTGCTTATGCTTATTTTATTATTTTTTGCTATCCTCGCAACTTTTCTACCGTGGTGGGTATATGGTATTTGGCAGCAGGATCAGAAAAGTTGTATTAACTCACAAGTGCTCATATGTGGCAGCTGCTAATTCTTTTGCTTTATACAGTTTCTAACAAATAATGTGAATGTACTTCTTTCTATAGGCCTGGTGCTAGACTTTTTGTTGCTCAGTGCTTTCCCAAATTATAAAAATGTTTCCACCCCAAAATTCTGTTGCCTAATTTGCACACATCAACTCTTTCACCAGCCTTGCTATTCTGCCATGTTTTCTTGTGTTGCTGCTATCAAGATTTTTCACTGAATATTCGGGCATAGTTACTAAAAACTTTCAATTCTCAGCAGTCTTGGCATAATGTAAGCAGGCTACAACATCATGCAATTCTAACTTGCATCCGATTAGCTAGAATTTACTATATTACTTTAGGAAGCCATTAATATGGGTTATTAGAAATCATAAACAGTTTTGTAGTTTATTTACAGTGAGTTTGTTTGAAAGTTTTATTAGATATATATAGGGGGCAGACCATTTTTAATACACTTTTGTTAAAATATTTATATATTTAAAAGTTGATGTTTTAAAATGTAATGCATCTTAATAAAAATACTGAAGAATCTTATGTCCTGAATATGTTTACCAAAGATAACTTTCAGTGATATTATCTTTAGTAGTTCTGATGTCTGTCCTAAAGTGATAAAACATGTGAAAGTATAGATATGTTTAAAAATCTGCAATCAATAAAAACTGTGAATTTTGTTAAGTGTGGATTGCAGAAAAAGATTTGAGAGCATAGTGGGTCATCAAGTTGATTATCAGTAAGCTTAATTCTAATATAAGTTACGTATATTGATATGTATATTATAAGTTACATACTTCAATCTAAAGTATTCTTTTTATGTTTATATAATTAAGTATTTTTAAATATACCTTATTAAGAAATATTGCATATATTTTATACTTGTCAAAGAACATTTTTCTCTGTGGGCAGTCTTTCATACTGGCTATAATAATTGCCCATCTTTAGTTTCTAAATAATTAGAAGCTAATATCCATATGTGCTGAAACTGCATATTTAAGATTCATAGTTTTTATTTGCGAAAGTATTTAATTTTCCTTAACAAAATAACTGTATATGTTGAAGTTAGAATGATTAATGGAAATTTTGAAATTTTAAAAATGTATTTAAAAATGTTCATATGTAAATTTTGTTTTAATATTTTGACAGGCTTTAATGTATCTTCATGAAGATTTTGCCAGATATCCTCAAAAAATTCATTACCACAATCCTTCAGAATTCTCTATTGAAGTTCTTGAGGTATGTTATGAGTGTATATATAGATAGGTGTAGATTAGTCTGATGTATTTAATGAATTCAGTTATATATATTTCATAAATCGAATGTGTCATTTAGTAAAAAGAGAAACTAGTACTATTTTTATTGTGTTGTTGAAAATTTCAAATTGCATTTTTTATACCCTCGCACATTTATTAGATTTCTATAACCATTTCTCCTGACATAATTTTTTTTAGATAATGAATTCTTCTGAAATAATGTCAATCTTTTTTGAAAGTCTCTTTTATGTTCCCATTCAGGTTTTACTATGATTCTAAATACAATGAAATCGCTTTAAAATGGTCACTTATGTTTCCAGATGTTTTTGCCCTTCTGTTAAAGTGATCACTTTAAAAAGGTGTAGTATTTATTTATATACCAGTGTAGTAGTAGTACCAGTGTTTATCTCTCTAAGAATACTGGTCACTTTCAGATGTGATTGGCCTGGGAGATTTCGCTGAAGTTCAAAAATTAAATGATTCCTGAATAATTTTAAAAGTAAAACCTTTCATATTACTTTTCAGCTGTATGCTAATGATGACAGATAATTAAATTATTTTTTTTTAAATTTTAAATCACTCTTCAGACATAAAACCTGTAACAGATGATACCTATAATAATGATGTTTATCAAGAACTATATGTGTTTAACTAGTGGTAGTAAGTTAAATGAAAAAGTTGGCCTGTGTTTATTATTTATGCAGATAGCAAAGACAATGTAACTGTCTAATATAGAATACCAAATGAATGTTTTGTTTTCCAGTCCAAATTTCTGAGCTTTAAATCTTGCCTTTAAATGAGTGCAAAACTCTCATCATAAAAATGAGATGTTTAAATATCTTATTTGTACAGATTCACTTCTCTCTTTCTTCGAATTGATATATTATCAAGAGAAAAATTTCTGATGGGAATTAACTGTGTATTATGTGCATTTGAAAAATTGCAGATATTCATTTTACTTACATTTGAAGCCACAATGGTATTCTCAGTAATGAAAGGGCTGAGCAGGTGACTTACCTTGATATTGATTTAATGATGTCTGTTCTCCAGTCATATTGAAAGCATGCTGCTTGGGATAAAATTGTGGTTGACTAGAATGCTGAATACCTTGCTTCTTTGAAGGTGTAGTGGACAAAAAGATTTTTCCCAATGGTTTTTTTTTTTTTTTTTTTTTTTTTTTTTTTTCAGCATTTTAAGTGTAAGCACATTCAACCATATTTATATATTAACTGGTCATGGGAATTTTAGAAATTATTTTATTCATTTTAATATTGTGATCAGTAGAGTTTGTGCTTGCGGCAATGCTGTAGAAGATGCAGAGCATATCTTCTTGCATTGCAGATTATATTTGAGTACCAGACTGCATTTAAACTGAGTTTAGGGTATCTGTCTATTTGCTGGCCTCCTGGCCTTGTCGGAAGTTCTAAAACTTTTGTTGTCTTATGCAACTTTATTTGTTGTTTACACTTTTAGCATTATTATTTTTATGTATTATTGATTATCTTTTTGTGTGTTGTATTATTGTTTTCTATCTTTGTATAATTACATTATGTATTAATGTATTACATTATTTTTGTATCATATCACCTTTATATTAGTATTAGTTTATTATTATAAGTTTATTGATTTATTTTCCTTTTATTAGTAGTAGTATCATAGTTTTAATATTTATAGTATATTTTAATATTCTTATTAGAGTAATATTTGTATTGTTATATATATATTTCTTATTCTCTCCAAAGCTAGATACTATTATGTGTTACTGTTGTACTATATCTACTTTGTACTACTTGTATTTATTTGTCCTTTTTTGTTGTATTATATCCACTATATATTGATTTACTTACATACTTCTGTAAGCTTCATAGCAGACGTTGTGGAATACAAGGCTTTTTGCATCTGCTTAAGAAAAAAAAGACAGATTGCATGCTGTAGATTTTAATTCTTAATTAAAAAAAAGTTATGTACTGTTATATTTTTAAACTCAAATTTTGGATATGTTTTTAATAGAAATATGGTCTTAGGTATAATAATATGGTTTTAGGTATTAAAACTTAAATTTTAGGTTCGGTAATTAAGCTTTAAGAAAGTTATATATTTTTTTTTTTTCTCCTAACATCTGTAACATTAAATATTCAAATCAAAATTCTTATAAAATATCTGTTTTGTACATGGAAATGCCTGAGACAAACTATGGATCAGATTTGGAAAGATAATCTATTTCATTATGAAGCTTTCATTTCAAATGATAAAGCACTGATGGTTAGACATTATATGAGATGGCTTTGCTGTTTTCCCCTTCTTAACTGCATAAAATAGTCGGGAAATTAGTAACACAACATCCTCGAGTTTTGCATCGATTCATGTCTAAAAGATCTCAATCAGTTTCGAGGGCAAACAGGCTCAAAATGTCTGTTAGATATCTGTTAAATGTCTGTTAAATATTGTTCCATTATAAATTATTGTAATTTATATTTAAAATGTTTTATGCAACTATATTCCGTTTGAATATAATATGGAATATTACATTCTTGCATTTCAGTGTCATAATCTATGCTTTAATTTTACTCATTGCTGGATGGAATAGATAATAATTTTTTTCAGTTGTAATTCTGAATGCATTTGCTGTGGTGTTTTCCCATATTTTAATGTTTAATCTTCATTACGAAGGAATTTGAAGCTGCATAAATAGTTTTCATAAATTTTGTTCTGCTTATGTAGGTGTACTACAGAGTTCATGCAAGTTGCTTGAAGTTTTTATGGCGACATGAGAACACGGGTGTAGATATGAAAACTCTAAAAATGATACAAGAGTGTCTACTTGCAGTCAGTCAAAGTCCTTTTGCAAATTTTCAAGAGAAATGCAAAAAGGAAATGTAATTATAATTACTTAATTTTTATTTTTTAATACCAAGTATGCTTCTTGAATGCTTTAAAATCACTTTTAAAGTGGTCCAAAGTATTCTGATAACATTGGCAAACTGAATGTTTCCTTAGAATGAAAGGATATTATATATATAGTGCTTTGATGTAAAGAGAGCAAAAAAAATCTGACATGTGCATTCTTTTATTACATTGTATTTCTCTTTCATGTTGCTATTATAATATTGGTACAATGTGGCATGATTATTTGTTCTCATTTATATGTGTATGTGCATATGTGTGAGCCCTAAGCAAGTTCAAAATTTTAATTTTGTGCATTTTTATTTCATAAGTGGGCTCTTCCCTCCCCCCCTTTTTTTAGTGTTGCAGCATTAAGTTAACATTTGTTCCACTAGATCGTAAGCTAAATTTAACATCATAGAACCACCAGTTTCCATATTTATATTATGGCACTTATAAGATGAATGCCTTTCCAATGCATCTAAAATGTTGTTGAGCTTTACAATTCCATTTTAGCATATATCACTGTGTTTACAATATACCTTCCTTAACTTGTATGCCTGTGACAGTTTGTTTTGTTTCAGACTCCATTAGAATCCCTTCATGTGCATTCAGACCCAAATGTTATATATTAGAATAGAAAAAAGAAATATATATATATATATATATAGTGTACTTCTGATTACCGCCCGAGCTAATGCAGGAGAAAGTCACGGATATAATGTAATGTGGGTCACGAATAATCCAAAGTATCAATTTTCTTTGCATATTGCATGTATATTATATATATATATATATATATATATATATATTTTTTTTTTTTTTTTTTTTTTTTTTTTTACAAAACAAACATGTGGAATGAATGAAACTAGACCTGAAGGTGCAATTCAATGGTTTATAGAGCATACTCAGACCTGCATATATTTGTTTTTCACACGATCTCGTGCATAGCATTGAGTTAGCGGGGAGGCTCTGTCATGCGTGGATATTCCACAAACTGCATAATCGAGAGTTACCATGTACATTTCTTTTGGTTTTCTCACCGTATCAATGAATAATTTATTTAAATATTACCTTTCTTGTTTTGAAATTTTCTCTATTCAATATTCATTTGAGGCATCTAGTTTTAAGCAGTTAACACCATAAATGTTTGGAAAATATTAAAAGATAACAGGTTTGATTTACGATATGTCATTTAAATGAGCATGTATTAGATGGTCAGCTTTTTTTCCTTTCTTTCTGCTTTTGTATACATTGATTACTGCCATCTGTATCAGCACTATATCATCAAAAAATCTATCCAGATTCCCCTGTTTACTAACATTTTCCATTCTTCCAGTTACATCTGGTACATGAAAAATATATTTATTTCAATTAGTTCTTTTGTAAGGAGTTTTCTTCCTTTCTCTAGAATTAACTGTTCCCCCCCTTCCCGACTTCTTCCAAAAAGCTGTATAATATTCTTTGTAAAAATTCCGTCTATTTTGAATCCGCTCTGTTTCAAATGTAAACAGTTTTGTCTTCTGTGCAGCCATTACACTGATATCACTATTATCATAAAACCATTAATTAAAATGTACTCATTGCACTCTTAAATCATACAGAGTATTAAAGGATATTTATATTACGGAAGTCATTGTTAAAACTGTAGATAAGAAGCTTTTAAAACTTACAAATATGGAAATGGCAAGAGAAAACACATTAAGAATTTAAAAAAAAATACTAATGATAGCATTGTTTTAAAAGAAGTTATAGACCTGTATAAACATAACAATGAGATGTAGAAGTTGCTCATGTAGACATAGTAATCATAGACATCTTACAACCAGTTAACTATTCTTTCTCCAGTGCAGACTACCTATGTAGCTGAGCTGATAATTTGCACTGTAGTATTCCTGCTCAGTTGGTTGCCTATCAGCATCTATGTGAGTAAAGTGAAGTGTGTAATAAGTAACCTCATTCCCAGAATGTTAAATTGTATCATGTTGCAGGGAAAGTTCTATTTCAGATCATTGTAAAAATGTTTCTTCATTGTGACATTCTCAAATTTCTGCTATAAAAAACAAATAAGTGAATTCAAGTTTCCTGATCCTGACTTCTGATAAGAGCTGATGGTTAAAAGTTCAAGTTGAATTCAACTTTTAACCATCAGCTCTGATCAGGGTTCGTACGGTCATTAACAGTCCTTAGATTTTTTGGAATCGATTTTTGGTCCTTAATTTTGGCCAAACTCAGCAGAAGGTTCTTAATTTTAATCATCTGAAATTTCTGTCTGTTTTTACGACTGCCATTTTGAGTGTGAATTAGCATTTTGGAGGAGTATTTTGGGGGATTCACTGACATATATGGTTATCTTTTGAATGGGTTCATGGGTTATAATTTGTTACTATTTCTAATATAAATGATGGGATATTCGAGTTTCTAAGCAAGAAGTAAAACATAATCATTTCAAAATCCATTTTTTCTAATTAAGAGCTTTTAAACAACTTTTCGCTTTTGGGGATGTGAATTCTTTTATTAAACGGTTCTAAATTTGGTGACGTATCAACATTTTCGCGATTTTAAGATCTATATAAAATTTTTAATTCCGAGATCTGATGTTTTTTTTAAACATCCTAACATTGATAAATTTCATTAAAATAATGGTAATATATTGATATTATATTTAAAAAATATATTAAATTAAAACATTTTTATTTTTCGCTGTCATATTATAAAGTTTCATTTTTGCAACTTATTATAAAATATTTTGAATCTGAAAAATAAACAAGGTATAATGCTCTAAAGCACAATTTATGAAACAGCTCTTAGCAAAAGCAAAATTAGCTATGCAATTAATTAAAAATGTCTTCTTTTTAATTTTTTCATAGTAAGAGTTTTTCCTTTGTAAATATCTCAGAATATTCAAAATTCACAGAATATGCATCAGTTTTCTCTATAAAATTAATTTTACCCTTTCCCCCCTTTTTTTTTCCAAAAATATTCCTGTCTTTTTGCTGTTACAGAATTGGTAGGAATAATTTTTCTTTAGGATTTTAGACATTGCAGCTTGCAAGGTTTAGAGCAGTGTCTCCCAACCTTTTTTGTGCTATGCCTCACCTAATCCTCTCTAAAAATTTTAAACTCCCCCTAGCATATACATAATTTTTAATATTTAAAAATTGAAATATTCACGAAAGAAACTTGAATGATAGCTTTTAGGAAGAAATGACTACGAAATTTTGTGAGCAAACACAGTAAGTGAACTTTCAAAACATGGAGAACTGAAGTTCAAGAAAAAACTCATTTTAGTGAAAGTTTTTTTATTTTAAGTATTAGTAATTTTTATTATTTAAATTTAGCGAGTTCCTTGCGCTTGATACTTGTTGCAAAGAAAGTTTATGTCAGGTTCCAATTTAGATAACTTGAGTCTCAAGTCTCCCGGTTTCATTATATCCAACCGATTTCTTTTTTTTTTAACAGCAAAATATGAAGATGGAAGCGGTAACATTAGTTCTCTTGCAAATTTTGTTGCATTTGGATATCTGATTCTGGTTTCCTCACAAAGCTATGTCATCGCTCCTTTTATATTAAATAAAGTTTTAATTGACTCATCATTTTGAATTTCTGTGAGTTCTTCTTTTTACTGCATATTTGAAATATCATCCAAATCCACTAGCATTGGCTTCATCATCCAAGTTGGAAAATCCATTTGTTTTAAGTTACGAAATCTTTTAAATCAGCCGATAAAATTTTGAGATGATCAACAATAACAAGTATAGCAGTAGTCATGTCACATTTTTGGAGCCAATGAGACTTTTCAAAATTTGTGTGGTAAATAGTATATGCCTGACATAATTCAACAAAGATAATGAAACCAAATATCTTTCTTTTGCATCATAAGTTTTATTTGCTCCTTGAAGTTGTTTATTTAATATATTTAATTTTTCAAAGATATCGGCTAAATAACTCACAGTTGCCTTGTTATCATCCGTTAACGGATTTTTCATTTCAGGTTTGTCGCTTAAAAAATAACTAAGAGTATCAAATAGTTCCATAAATCTTTCCAAGCAGTTCCATTTCAACAGCCTTCTTACTTCAGTGTGAAGTACAAGTCTCATATAGTCTTCATTTTGCTCTTCATAAAATAACTTGAAAAGACGTTCACATTTGGCCCTAGCTTTAATAGCATCGATACACTTTATAACTGAATTTAGTACTTCATTTAGAACAGGCGAATTGTTTTTAGCTACCACAAGAAGCATTTCTGGATTCTCATCTTTTATCAATTTTAAGCAACCCTTTCTCTTATTCTTTGCTTTATTTTATTTTTCAACCATCATATTAGGAGCACCATCTGCAGTACAAGATGTATTCTATTTTTTATTGGTATCTTTTTTATATCTAAGTAATTTTTTAGCTTACTATAAATATCTTTGGGGGTAGTGGTGCTTTCTAATGATTTACAGAATATTTCTTCGGCAAAATCCCCTTTATGAATATATCTTACGTAAGTTACAAGTACGGCCTCAGTGTCTCTCAAAGTTGGTTCATCCATTTGCACCGAAAATTTTCTTGTTTTCAGCTTTTCAACAAGTTGTTGTATTTCAATGGCCTCACTCATTTAATCTTTGTTCTGCAAACAGTATTGTTATTTAGTGGCATAGCGTTAACGTCTTCGTCATCTTTTTCTAGAAAAGTTTAAATACTGATATTGATGGTTTGATTAAATTCTCCCCTATAGTACGGCTTTTCCCAGATTAAGTGATGAGTAACGAAATTTGATAAAATAGCCTCAAGAACACGATTAACAGTTGCATTATGAGCAGTAAATAGACAATTTAATATTACTCTGTTTTCAAAAATTTTCCTTAAAGTGTGAAAATAATTCAAATCTGAATTCATATCACCATTATGTTTTGCCTTGATGTGCCTCAAGACAGCCTAGTTTCATTGATTGTTGGTCAGGCATTATTGGCATAAAAGGACAAAAGTTGACTGTTTATGGACCGGG